TCCATATGGATGTTCATTTATTTTTCCAGTTAAGTATTCTCAATAGCTATAAATAATATAGGAATGTATTAATCATAGAATTTAAAGTGATTTCTAATTTAACTAGAATTCTAAAGAAACGATCTTTTTCTTCAAATTTATCTATTTTGTTTAAGCTTATATAAACCTATATGGAAGGTGTACACTCATGGACAAGGAAAGTTTCCTATTTTGATGTCAACGGCCGTCTTTTTTTTTTTTAAGAAAACAAAGGCTATTTTGTCATCTCATGTGTCTTCAATAAGGGTCAATGTGTATTAAATATCTTTTAGAGTTATTGTGTGTGTATGCTCGAATCCCGATATACATGCTAACATGCAAAAGTAAAAATCTCCTTATGTTTTGTCTCTATGAGTGTAATTTAAAAGTATATATATATATATATGTAGGATGGTTGTTGATGTGCTGTGTTGGTGTGGCTTGTGGAAAGGCTGCTGATAAAATTATAATTAAAATTAATTTATTTAAAGCAAGAAATTATAAAGAGAAAAGAAGCAACGGTTGAAATAACGGCCGCCGCACTAGCCTTGTTGTTTACCGCTAAGTCGCCAGCGTCTCTGATGACGTCCCACGCGCATGCGTAGTGAAGAGTTGACGCCCGCCGATGCCGAGGCCGTCTTAGTTCGGCTCGCTGAAGCAAAGTGTAGTCGCCACATATATATATATATTGTTTCAATCCCAATCTCTCTCTACAAAAAATATTTTAAAGAAAACAAATATACTAAAATAGCTTAATGATGAATTCTTCTAGTGCAGTAGAACCTCCCTGTAGAGGACACTTAATTGTAGAGTTAAACTGTCCTTTAGGGAGAGAGGTGTCCTCTTACCGGAAAGTTGCTAAATAGTAAAAATGGTAATTTGAAAATGAAAACTGTTTTTTTTTTTTAGAGAGGTGTCGTCTAACCGGAGAGCTGCTAAATAGTAAAAATGATAATTTTGCAAATGAAAACTGCCCTTTATAGAAAGGTGTCCTATTAGCAGAGAGTTTCTAAATAGTAAAAATGGTAATTTTGCAAATGAAAACTGTCCTTTATAGAGAGGTGTCCTCATACCGGAGAGTTGCTAAATAGTAAAAATGGTAAATTTGCAAATGAAAACTGTCCTTTATAGAGAGGTGTGTCCTCTTACCGGAAAGTTGCTAAATAGTAAAAATGGTAATTTTGCAAATGAAAACTGTCCTTTATAGAGAGGTGTGTCCTCTTACCGGAGAGCTGCTAAATAGTAAAAATGGTAATTTTGCAAATGAAAACTGTCCTTTATAGAGAGGTGTGTCCTCTTACCGGAGAGCTGCTAAATAGTAAAAATGGTAATTTTGCAAATGAAAACTGTCCTTTATAGAGAGGTGTCCTCATACCGGAGAGTTGCTAAATAGTAAAAATGGTAAATTTGCAAATGAAAACTGTCCTTTATAGAGAGGTGTGTCCTCTTACCGGAAAGTTGCTAAATAGTAAAAATGGTAATTTTGCAAATGAAAACTGTCCTTTATAGAGAGGTGTCCTCTTACCGGAGAGTTGCTAAATAGTAAAAATGGTAATTTTGCAAATGAAAACTGTCCTTTATAGAGAGGTGTCCTCATACCGGAGAGTTTCTAAATAATAAAAACGGTAATTTTGCAAATGAAAACTGTCCTTTATAGAGAGGTGTCCTCATACCGGAGAGTTGCTAAATAGTAAAAATGGTAAATTTGCAAATGAAAACTGTCCTTTATAGAGAGGTGTGTCCTCTTACCGGAAAGTTGCTAAATAGTAAAAATGGTAATTTTGGAAATGAAAACTGTCCTTTATAGAGAGGTGTCCTCTTACCGGAGAGTTGCTAAATAGTAAAAATGGTAATTTTGCAAATGAAAACTGTCCTTTATAGAGAGGTGTCCTCATACCGGAGAGTTGCTAAATAGTAAAAATGGTAAATTTGCAAATGAAAACTGTCCTTTATAGAGAGGTGTGTCCTCTTACCGGAAAGTTGCTAAATAGTAAAAATGGTAATTTTGCAAATGAAAACTGTCCTTTATAGAGAGGTGTCCTCTTACCGGAGAGTTGCTAAATAGTAAAAATGGTAATTTTGCAAATGAAAACTGTCCTTTATAGAGAGGTGTCCTCTTACCGGAGAGTTGCTAAATAGTAAAAATGGTAATTTTGCAAATGAAAACTGTCCTTTATAGAGAGGTGTCCTCATACCGGAGAGTTTCTAAATAATAAAAACGGTAATTTTGCAAATGAAAACTGTCCTTTATAGAGAGGTGTCCTCATACCGGAGAGTTGCTAAATAGTAAAAATGGTAAATTTGCAAATGAAAACTGTCCTTTATAGAGAGGTGTGTCCTCTTACCGGAAAGTTGCTAAATAGTAAAAATGGTAATTTTGCAAATGAAAACTGTCCTTTATAGAGAGGTGTCCTCTTACCGGAGAGTTGCTAAATAGTAAAAATGGTAATTTTGCAAATGAAAACTGTCCTTTATAGAGAGGTGTGTCCTCTTACCGGAGAGTTTCTAAATAATAGAAACGGTAATTTTGTAAATTAAAACTGTCCTTTATAGAGAGGTGTCCTCTTACCGGAGAGTTGCTAAATTATTAAAATGGTAATTTTGCAAATGAAAACTGTCCTTTATAGAGAGGTGTCCTCTTACCGGAGAGTTGCTAAATAGTAAAAATGGTAATTTTGCAAATGAAAACTGTCCTTTATAGAGAAGTGTGTCCTCTTACCGAAGAGTTTCTAAATAATAAAAACGGTAATTTTGCAAATTAAAACTGTCCTTTATAGAGAGGTGTCCTCTTACCGGAGAGTTGCTAAATTATTAAAATGGTGATTTTGCAAATGAAGACTGTCCTTTATAGAGAGGTGTCCTCTTACCGGAGAGTTGCTAAATAGTAAAAATGGTAATTTTTGCAAATGAAAACTGTCCTTTATAGAGAGGTGTGTCCTCTTACCGGAGAGTTTCTAAATAATAAAAACGGTAATTTTGCATATGAAAACTGTCCTTTATAGAGAGGTGTGTCCTCTTACCGGAGAGTTGCTAAATAGTAAAAATGGTAATTTTGCAAATGAAAACTGTCCTTCATAGAGAGGTGTTCTCTTACCGGAGAGTTGCTAAATAGTAAAAATGGTAATTTTGCAAATGAAAACTGTCCTTTATAGAGAGGTGTTCTCTTACCGTAGAGTTTCTAAATAATAAAAACGGTAATTTTGCAAATGAAAACTGTCCTTTATAGAGAGGTGTCCTCTTACCGGAGAGTTGCTAAATAGTAAAAATGGTAATTTGCAAATGAAAACTGTCCTTTATAGAGAGGTGTGTCCTCTTACCGGAGAGTTTCTAAATAATAAAAACGTTAATTTTGCAAATGAAAACTGTCCTTTATAGAGAGATGTCCTCTCACCGTAGAGTTGCTAAATAATAAAAATGGTAATTTTGAAAATGAAAACTGTCCTTTATAGAGAGGTGTGTCCTCTTACCGGAAAGTTGCTAAATAGTAAAAATGGTAATTTGCAAATGAAAACTGTCCTTTATAGAGAGGTGTCCCCTTACCGTAGAGTTGCTAAATAATAAAAATGGTAATTTGCAAATGAAAACTGTCCTTTATAGAGAGGTGTCCGCTAACCGGAGAGTTGCTAAATAGTAAAAATGGTAATTTTGCAAATGAAAACTGTCCTTTATAGAGAGGTGTCCTCTTACCGGAGAGTTGCCAAATAGTAAAAACGGTAATTTTGCAAATGAAAACTGTGCTTTATAGAGAAGTGTGTCCTCTAACCGGAGAGTTGCTAAATAGTAAAAAAATGGTTATTTGCAAATGAAAACTGTCCTTTATAGAGAGGTGTCCTCTAAACGGAGAGTTGATAAATTATTAAAATGGTAATTTTGCAAATGAAAACTGTCCTTTATAGAGAGGTGTCCGCTAAAGGGAGGTTCTAGTATATTGAATTGCCAAAACAAAGGGAGGGTTCATCACTGATGTCCTAGATTCTCTCAAACAAGTTCCTTCAGAATAAGGGAGACAGTTGAAATATTATTTAATTTCATAAAGTAGCGGTAAAGAACATTCTCTAATCTTACTCAAAGAAAAGCTAATCAGCGATAAGAACATAATACAACACCAAAATAATATTTAAAATTAATATAAATAACACAAATACAAATAATAGGTAAGTTGAAAAGTATAATTACTATGTAAAACAATAATTATCAATAAAAATTGTAATTAACTTGAAAATTCTGCAATATCAATGCAATCTTGTTGAGGAAAAAATGAACAACCTCTTGAGAATAGAGATTTGAAAATAATTTTGTATAAATTTGAAGATAATAAACAGATTAATTTTCTAAATGAAAGATATATAGATACCTCATTAAATTACACTCTTTCCTTTAATTAATGGAATATAATTTAGTTGGCCTAATTATAAAACACTTTGCTAAATGAGTTCCAATTAATTACAGAAGAATGGAACAAGTTTCTTTTGCCCAGAAGACAACGAACTGCTTGTTAATTGAATCGATCAATCTTTAGGTACTTCTGAACGAATCTTGATTTCCTCTTTCTTTATTTACGACGTCTTTTGGTACGATTGATTATTCGTCTGCAGAAGAATTAGTGATCAATTTCTTTAGTGCAGTCTATTTCTGAACATGGGAAAATAACCTTTTTTAAAATCTTTTTACCTAACACACATGTAGCTTCAGTACAATAATTTCAAACATAACGCAGAACACAATCTAGCTATATCACAAAAGTATTCTCATTTTTATCATAAATGATAATTATCATTATAATATATACGCCTTGAAATAGGATTGTATATTAATGGAATTTTTACCTGGAAAGATATATTGATCTATACAATACACTGCGGTTTGTGATTGTAAAACAACACTTGAAGTTACACCGCATGAGTTTCTTTTCAATGAAAAATCAAAATTTATTTCAAGGTGAAATATTCACTATTTCTAACCTTTTTGGATGAGGTATGAAAGTGCCTAGTGGACATGACATCTGCCCGGTAAGCGGAACATTGTGGGTTCGATTCCCATCCCTGAACATTTTATTTTTCCGTTCATCATTACTCTTCATAATTCACCCTTTCATACCTCATCCAAAAAGGTTAGAAATAGTCAATATTTCACCTTGAAATAAATTTTGATTTTTCATTGAAAAGAAACTCATGCGGTGTAACTTCAAATATTGATCTATAGAGAAGCAAACATATACATAATATAAAATCAGGAAGAATTCTCTATCTCTATATTTATAAATTCATTATTACGCTATATCTATGAATCTCTCCACGAGCGAAATTGATTGGTACCTATGATTAATTCATAAGAAATCTCTACAACTTTCGCGTTGGAGATGCCACCTTAGATTCAACCGTCTCTGCAAAAGTGCTGATTTCATCCCGCCTTCCCTCAGGATAAATGACCCAGTTGGCAGTTCTTTTTCAAAACACATCCTCATAAAAACCCAGCATCAACTACTTAATGCAAGAATCAAAAATTGTTTCTCTAATATTAGATTTCTCACCAAGTCAATCAAAGATCTTATATTTCTAGTATCCCAAAGAATCCCCCTGGCAGATCTTTTGAAGCATATTATAAAAATCACTATTGATATTAAGTCTCAAGAAAAAACAATTCTCGACAGACACCATAAGAAACTTCTCTTTTGGAAAAAGAAATATGCCTTCCGTTACACCTTCTCTCATGACCTTGGCCCCAAGTCTTCTACTGTCATTAACCTATCAAACCACACTCTGTCGCCATCTGAGACCTCGCTTCTTGAGAAAGGACTGAAGTACCTCATCCCCTCCAATCCCAATCCTCCAGTAATCATCAGCGCCATTGAATCATCCATCAAATCCTTCAATCTGCAAGAGAAGTTTTCCATTAGATCCATGGAAGCTAAGAATCTATCTAAGCCATTTCTTCCTCCTTCTAACCATCTTGAAAACATCATTACACTCAAAAACCTCAAACTTCATAAATCAATAGTTATCACTAAGTCTGATAAGGGTGCTAATACAGTTATCTTGAATCAGGATAGTTATATTTCAAAAATGCATAATTTACTTAGTGATGACACCACTTTTTCACCCATCACAGACCAAATCAGCCTCTCTGTAGTCAAGGATTTCAAAACCTCACTTCTCCGTCTCAAGAAATTTAAAAACATCTCGCCTGAAGATTATATCTCATTTACCTCTAACCTCCATAGTTCAGCCTATATATACGGCCTCCCTAAAATACATAAACCAGAAGTACCTCTCCGTCCCATCATAGCCTATCACTTATCGCCTGCTTATCCTCTAGCTAAAAATCTGCCAGCTTCCTCTCCCCTTTATTAACCAATTACAATAATACCCTTTCAATTAACAGCACCCCTCACTTTATTAATGAATTAACAGCTCTTAAACCTGATCCTGCCTTTACTATGTGTTCCTTCGACGTCACCTCCCTCTACCTCTGTCTTCTCCATGAACTCATCACAGATAGCTTGATTCATTTCCTTCAATCACAAAATGTCGATACCCACACTTCCACAACCATAGTTCAACTCACCAAAATATGCTTAGGCATGAACACATTCACATTCCTACAGCACCATTATAGACAGTTCAGGGGCTCCCCAATGGGCAGCCCTCTATCTACCATTATTGCTGAAATAGTCATGACTAGAATAGATGAATGGATCACCCATACCCTCTCTACAGAAATTCAGTTCTGGCGCAGATACATTGATGATATCTTCTGTATATGCAAAAAAGGTCAAGAGAGCTTCATACTACTAACTCTTAATAATTACAATCAGGATATTTCCTTTACTCTAGAAACAGAAACTAACCATGTTATCCCATTCCTTGATATTTTAATTATTCGCACCACATCCTCATTTCACACTACAGTTTATCATAAAAAACAATGCCCCCCCCTGTTACACTCACTACAATTCTCATTGTCCTACCTCCCATAAAATCAACATTGTCAGAACCCTTACAAAAATAATATACACCCATTGTTCCATAGACATCTTTAAAATAATAGAAAGAAATCGTATCATAACCCAGCTCTCCGCAGCTTCTTTTCCGCTCTCGTTCGTTAATAAATATACTTACACACCTACAACTTCCAATCCTTCCATGACTTACAGATCATTGTGCTTTCTTCCTTACTCCCCCTCCTCAGTAGATATAGTCAGAAAACGTAAATCTTATGGCATCCGTACCATATATAAAAACTCCCCGAATATTCTTTCATCCCTCCGTCCTCCTCATACTAAGTCCTCAGCTCCTCCTGACCCTCTTCGTTCTGTGGGCGCAGTCTACTCCGTCTCATGTGAACAGTGTCCTGCCACTTACGTTGGTGAGACAGGTAGATCTGTGGCCATCAGGATGACTGAACATTCCCGTAATATTTCCAGACAAGATACCAAATCCCTCATTTATCAACATATGCAGAGCACAGGCCACACTTTCAACATCAAAAAAACCACCATACATTACAGGCACATACATATCTTACACCAAAGACTTATTCTAGAATCCATAGTATCCCACAAACTGAACAGCATCAACAGAAAAATAGATCTCCCAGAAGCTTATCATCCACTCCTGCCCTTTATTTAAATCTCCCACATGTTTATTTAAATAGCCCTAATCACGCGCCGTCTCGTGATTTCAGACTGCAGATTTAATATTTACTTTACTCAAAATCGGTCTTCCGTTAATATTAACATATATAAATAGTTTAAAAACTTTCTTTATATATATATATATATATATATATATATATAATAATAAATAGTTATTTAATTTTATAGTCCAGTTTTGTATTAAGATTATCTTCATTATTATGATCATTTAAATTCAAATTATAAAATTTGTAAAATGTTATTAATTTGTAGATAGAGAGCGAAAAAAAAAATCCTTTACTTCTAATACATCATCAAGTTAATTATATATTTATAATCAATAACAATAAAAATTAACAACGTAACGTCTTTTGCATCGGCTTTTACACGTCATTTAGACATACTCTAATCCTATATATAGAACTAGCGGACGTACCCGGCTTCGCCCGAGGTTTTACCCGAGTAAAGGTTTTTCTAACGAACATTTGTTAAAACAATGCTCTATAAACGTATAAAAAAAAAGATATATTTTGATAATTTGAAACTCGTAAATTTGAATCTCTCGATAAAGTGAACATTTTTTCCCGGTCCCTGTGAGCCGTGGCATCCTGAATTTTGTCTTCCATAATTTTCTACATTACAAAATCACCGTTTTATCTAGTGAACATATTTTCCCGGTCCCTTGAAAAATATTCGATAAGTTGAATAAAATCATGGTCGTGAATCTCTCGATAAAGTGATTATTTTTTTCCCGGTCCCTGTGTGCCGTGTCATCCTGAATTTTGTCTTTCCTAATTTTCTACATTACAAAATCATCGTTTTATCTACATATTTTCCCGGTCCCTTGAAAATTACTCGATATGGACGTAGTTCCCGGAGGTTACCCGCCCCCCCAGCGCCAGGACCTCTTGATCCCTCTGATTGGCCGGCGGCCGGACGGGGGTGGGGGGAGGGGGGGAGGGGGGGGGGGGGAGGGGGGGGCTCTTGATCCTTCTGATTGGTCGGTGGGAACTTGGACTGTCCAATGGCCGGCGGCCGGACGGGGGGGCAGACCTAAGCCTAAGGTGGCGTTGCTTGCGAGTTAAAGCTACAAATAACTCTAAGGATATTAAAGATATTCAAGAAATTATTTTTCGTAAACCTTTCCGGGGATACACCTAATAATATCCCAAATTTTCACGGCGATTGGATGTATGGTTTTCGAATCCATAGAGGACAGACAGACACACACACACACACACAGACATTCAATTTTATATATATAGATAATCGAAGTGAGAATATATATAATAGTTAGAAAAAAGAGAGAAAGACAGAACCATGCACTTTTAATCAAACTAATAATAAGGAAAAAAAAAAGTTTTGTAAAGAAGGTAGATAAGATTGTTAGTATATATATATATATATATTTATAATTTTATATTTTATCCTTTTTTTTTTTTAAAGATTTTTTAAGGTTTTTTTTATTTTATAATATGATTATAAATAGTTGTATTTAGTAATATATCTATAGTATGAATTAACATTTGTTATAAGTTTGGATATTATGTTTTGAAACCCTAATGGTAGACCAGACATACACAAAAAAACTTTAAATTGAAATAAATTGGAAAAAGAGATCTGCTGGACCGGGGATCTTCAGATAAAAGCCCAAAGGGGTGAAATGTCGTTGGGCTTTTATCTGAAGATCCCCGGTCCAGCAGATCTCTTTTTCCAATTTATTTCAATTTAAAGTTTTTTTGTGTATGTCTGGTCTACCATTAGGGTTTCAAAACATAATATCCAAACTTATAACAAATGTTAATTCATACTATAGATATATTACTAAATACAACTATTTATAATCATATTATAAAATAAAAAAAACCTTAAAAAATCTTTAAAAAAAAAAGGATAAAATATAAAATTATAAAAATATATATATATATGATAATTTAAACCAATAACCCTATGTTATGTAATTTATAACAAGATTGTCATGTTGTATATAGAACTAATTATAAACTATAATTATATGCATAATTGACATGTCTCCTTGCATCACCAAATGTAATGTACTGAGGATGAATAAATAAAAATATATAATAGATTAAAAGCTGAGTTAAGAGCCAGAGAGAGAATCACAAAGTAACTTCTAAAGATAGATGGAAGCCAACAGACTGGTGCCAGTGTCGATTTACGGACACGTGCAGAAAGGCAATACTTCCTGGTCCCCTTCCTGGTCCAAAAAGTGGTATAAATAAGACCGGCCTTAGCAACAGAGTCAGTCAGTTCCAGTCAGTTCCGGTCAGCGTCACCCCTTATCGCCGGTTGTCACCAACTCATCGACCATGTAAAACAGTAAGAAACCTTCTCGATCTCCATCTTGCTTTTGGCTCAACTTTTTATCTATTCAAGGAACTTTCCTTCTTTCAAC